TTTATCCTTTCGCGCGTTTAACCGTATAGAACCTCCTCGTGCATGTGGAATATGCATTCTTGAAAACAACAATATGTTTCGCAATGACCTTCATCAGACAGAAGGAATTTGAATGAAATAAAGATCGGCCAAGAATTATGGGACAACCCAATAGTTCCAACAGATTCGCCTAAATTCACGAAAAAAAAAGAATTTCTCTAGATATGGCTCCAAGAGCGGCAAGAAGAGAGACGAACATCATTTTATACGCGAAGCAGTGTTAAAAGTAAAGGCATCATCAGGCTAAGGTATTGCTACATTTGTTATCCTGGCAATACGTTACTAACCTAATATAACTTAGATGCAATAGAGCTGGGAAATACACAAAGAGCACTGAAACTCGTGTCACACATTCGAAAAGGGATGTGCTACATTGCTCATGTTTTATGGACGTAAAACTGGAAGACGATGGACGCGTGAATGTAAAAGGTTGTTTTGGCCATATTGGTCACAAAGTCGATGTTGCCCTCTTACGCTTAACGCCATCTCAACAAATTTTTCTGAGAGGATTGCTGGAAGGTACGTAAATTCCAGCTGATAAGCTAAACATCTTAGTTTAACATAAGCATAGAGGTGTTCAGAGTTTTCCCACGACTACATTATAAAGCGACTCAGGAAGGATTATCCGACTTCAAGATTAGGGTTTGTGAATAAAAGCGATCTTTGGAGTATCGTAAATAAATATGGATTGCGACCGGGTTATCGCCATAAGGACGACATGCAATCATTGAAAATACGAGAGGAAGAAAACAATCCCAACGATGGAATCCGGATCTTTGAAATGCCTGAGAACCCCACGGGAAGAGGCTTTTGCATAAGTAGGGTTTGCTTGAAAAATCAGATGGCCTCGAACAGAACCTATAATTTCAGTAATAATCACTCCTGAACAAGTCAAATGGCTGAGAGATTTTTCAAACCGCGGAGTTTCGATCGATGATATCCATAATGCAACTCGTTATAACCTCAAATTGGCAACTCTCATGGTATTGAATGAACGAGACGTTGGTCTCCCAGCAGGTAGATAGATTGCAATGGTTTTAAAGGGACTCACAATCAGTGGGATTTAATCGACTTTATTTAAGCATTCTTACTGAGCGGGACGATGAATTCATCAGATGTGGCGAAGCTATTCCTCGAGGTCAAAAGGTCTTTCCGGAGTTCAATCCTGCACAAATAGTGACTGACGAGGCGCCTTGTTTTTTTAATGGCTTCCACTCTGTATTTCCGGACTCACACGCGCAGTTGCACTATTGTCGATGGCACATAGGAAAAACATGGGAAAGGAGTGCAAACAAATATGTGGAAGTCAGTCCATCGTATTTGCGATCTCCTTTTGTGTGGTCTGGAATAAGCATAATAAGTTTCAGCTTCGAGTACGAACGAGAGTGAAAAGGATGATGAAGGACCTCTTAATCATAAGGGATTTGTCTTCGTTTCAACATCGTTTTGCTGAACTCCTTGTATACCTGAGGGAAGAGGGTCAGGAAAAAATGGAAGACTATCTAAGACATAATTATTTAGGCGAGTTTGACTACATCACAATGTGTACTTTTCATTGGTTCAAAACATCAATTTAAGGTAGGACCCCAACGTGGGGATCGTTTTCCAATCCGAACGCGATTATGGATACGACCATGATCAGCGAACACTGGCATCTTCGCCTAAAATCGGAGTTCCTGAATAGAAACGCTAATAGCCGTGCCGATTATTTAGTCGATCTTCTAATAAGAGCCGTGGAGGAGTTATCACAGTCGGATCAGCTGAAGGTAATTTCGAAGCATTTAATTCTAGCGCAGTGTACGTCAATGTGTTGTTAAGGCTCGTCGACGGTTAGCTAACTCTTCTTATCGCAGCCAACAAAGCGCTATTTGTCATCGATTAGCTCTAAAGAAGTTCCGTGGTCATTCCGAAAAGATCAAGCGACTGGGGAATGAAAAGTGGGAAGTGTATTCGAAGTCTGCAGAAATTTTTGTGGTGCGGCGTATCCGCGACTGCGAATGTAACGATGCCGAAAACGAAAATGTCCATTGTCCCCTATGTGGAATATGCCCTTACTCGTGGTCCTGTTCTTGTAAGGACAACCGCGCAGGTATAAGTTGTGTGCATAGGCACGCAATCATGTTGTTCCACCAGCTCACCAATAAACGGACGCCTCTTCGGACCCTCCAAACGGATGCCTTTCCGGACCCTCCACCTCACGAGGAAGCTGGCCCTCAGGAAGGTTCTAAAAGAGTTTCGGTGTCTCCTCCAGTTGAAGTTGACGGCGCTCAGGTGCGAAAAGAAGAACGAAGTCAGTTGCGGGACTCCATTAACATGGTGAGTACCCTTATAGATCCTCCGTTCTCACCGGAGTGAATTTGACAAGCATTTCAGAAGCTGGCTGTACTTCACACAAAAGTGAATGCTTTGGTCAACACTGATACGGACGAGGCAAAAGAAATGCTGTCTACAATAGAAAATTTGATAGACAGGGCCTCGAAGACCGGACAGATAACTACTCCAGGGATAGCAATTCGGCCGGAGTTAACAAAGCGGGGAGCGAAACCTAAGCAATCGAAAGTCCAACTCTACACTGTGAGTCTTTGTTTGACGCATTTGATGGGCCCTAACTCAGAAGCAAATTTCAGCGTAAGCAAGCACGTCGAGCCAGGGATCGGTTGTCACCTGACAGTGACAGTGAAAACCAACAAACCAACACACTCACATTCTGAAGGTAGGTTCACCATTCTCGGTTTTTTTTTGATTTGTGTAAATGGCAACCTGTTTTAGTTTGTATAGGGTTTGGTTCAGTCAAGCTGCTGCGACTTTGGTTTTACAGTCTTTCGCCAACTCGTCCTGCAATCAAATCGGTGGGGAGGAGCTTTTCTCGTTCATCGTATCGTCAGATTTCGTATTTCTTGATTTCGGATTGATTTTTGGAAAATGCCGTGGATTTGCTGGTGTGTTGATCACCTCCATGGGAGCTGCTGTACATCAGATCGCATCCTCAGACATTAGTGGCCAGTTTACTATTACGGAGCCTATTAGCGCTTCAAAAGGTACCAGTCTTTCATGCTACCTTCTCAGCGAGTTTTACGAAGCCAGTTTCTCTTGTTCAGATATGAAATGGTTCGTTTGGAAGGATATAAGTCGAGATTTCCTATCGTCTATGCATTCCGGTGATTGTTTCATTCTTTGGAATTCAGAGAGTGGGGAGAAATGTGGTGAGTGGCCTATACAACCCTCAATCTGGTATCTCTATTGACCCTATCAATATTCGCATGTCGCTTGGTTCGGTCTTTTCGGCCTAAACTTTTTTAAGATAAAGTTCTACGCAAGAAGTGTTTAGATGCTTGATGGGCGCCGCGAACAGTCATGAAGGTACCGCTGTCGACATGTGACCGGAGTGAAGAAGTCAGTATTGTACTAGAGATTATTTGATTGGGAGTTCATTTGAAGTCCATTTTGGTAGCACAGTGGTGATGAAATGCATAACTCTTCTACATCCCTGTTTGTGGTTGTCTATCATGAATAAATAGCTTCGATGTTAGTTATTTCACAGTACTATTACTACTTCAACAACAAGAATCGCGAATCAGGAGATATCGAAAAGACGTCTGCAGTGAATATTTGTGGTAGTGGACATCAGATCAAAAAATCTCCTATCCAGCAAAAGTGGGAGCGAACACTGAACATAACATTTAATGCAAAATGATTGGAATCGTGGAGAACAGTTTTCCCATTGATAGCGCAATAGTTAAGCTTTTGCTCACAGCTTACGTAAAGAACTGCTATTATCTTCCAACGCAGAAGCTGTAAAATCCCACACAAGGTTGGCGAATAAAAGCGCCAAGCCATCATGCTCCCCCCCCCCTGCTGGTCCCCTAGTACTAGGCTGTGAGTCTAGGGGGATGTGTAAGCAGTTTTCATTACCCTCAAAGTTCACCCTCTTCTCCAAGGCTCAGTCAGCGTGGGCATGCCCCTTTTGAGTACACTAGCGCCTCAAGAAATTGATTCGCAACAGTAACGCAAACGCTCCTGTAAGCGGATTCATTTCCAATGGAACTGAATTACATTTACGGACATCTCTTACAGAAAGAATGAACATATCCCATGGCCTATCATCTACAAGTATGCGCTCTTACTTTCAGCACAAGTCATCCTCA